TCCATTGCTTCCAACCCCTCCATGGACAAGGACTTCAATTCTGCGCGGGAATCTCTTACATACGCGTTGATTGAATAATTGCGGACTACAGCAGAGGAACGTAAATATGCCACTTAAACTCACACAGAATGCGAGAGAGTTGACAGGTATGCGTTATTAATGAAAACTGGCCACACCTGATAATGTTCAGAGTTTTTTGAGTTTCTGTAATGGTAATTTAAATGAATGATTGAAAACAGGTCGTGACCAATCATTAATTTTAAGGGATTGTTTTGAGCCTCCTCTATCGCCACTTTACCAGCCGCCACTGATATATATATACAGTATTGTGCAAAAGTCTTAGGGCACCCTGCACTCTAAAAAAAAATCAAATCTGTATTAGATGTTTACTTTTTGTTTCCACATTAGAAGATGAAAAGTAAATTAGAAATTCCAAATGCTAATTTAAAGAAAAGTTTGAAAAATAAATGTTTTTATTCCAGTAAAAATATTCGATACAGATATTATAGTCTTGACAGAGCCTTGATGTCAGCATCATCATAGCTGTTTGTAATTTCTTGGAGGGACAGACGCAAGTGAGACTGTCTGCAAGAGAATGGTGGCAAGTTCTCCACTCTGTTTGGAACAAGCAAAAAGCCAATCATTTTATAAAACTATAGCACAACAGGACGGTGTCCCAAATTTTTTTGGCAAAGGGTTGTCACATCAAATATTGATTTGATGTAGTAGTTTTTAACAGTGTACAGCTCTGTTAAGTACATTTCTCAGTTATTAGAAACTTATAATTTCATCGTTTTTGCAAGCATATTTGCCCTAAGAAATTGCATTCAATGTGCCTAAGACTAAGCACTGTATACACACACACGCACACACACACACACACACACACATATATATATGTATTCTCTATGTATACCTCATGACAACACAGAAGTAATATAACATAAAAAAAGAACTCAATTAATTAAAAATGTAAGCAATGTAACAGTACTTCATACATGACAAACAGAATGTAGTTAACCAGATATTAAGGTCAATAAGACGCACAGTACATATATAGCAATAAGCTCTGTAAAATGTGTCTTCTCAGGTGCGTGTTATTTAGTGAGAGACTGAGGTGTTTGGATGCAGCGCGGCAGCACTAAAATGTACACAAAGGAAAGTGTCCACGACAGGATGAAACGAAAGTGTTTTTCTCTGTGACACGGCCCTCCTGTCTACACGACTTCAGTCGATGTGGCAGTTTTAAAAGTCTCAACATGTAAATCAAAAATAGTTTGCCCTTAATGGATCTGCTTTAGCAGAAATATCCAGGCAGCTCCCTGAACGGCAAGGTAACCAGCAGACATGTCCATGGGATGATGTTTACAATAATGGAGAGAGGCAGTCCAATTTCGCAAACATGGAGGTGCAAAGTTACATTTCCCAGCCTTCTACCGCATTGAAAAGAAATGAGGGGAGAAACAACAATAACTTCATGTATAGGGAACGCGAGACTAGCAGCTCAGATGCACATCAGATACAATTTCACCTTGGCAGAGCACTTGTCAAAATCAAGAAATATCACAGAGAGGCTTTTTTGTGTAGCTATATTTGTACCCCGAGGGTGTCAGTCACACGCAAGGCCAAAATAGACTCTTCATAAGCACTGACAGTCTTCACCGAAAAGAATGAGTTACATGCAACCAGCTAAACAGCACTTTACAGATTCACATATTATCTGTGGCAGTTCCCCTTTCAAGGATAGTTTGCACTTGTATCTGCTCCTTATTCTAAATGCAGATAAGCACTGCAGCCATCTATCTGCTCCAATGCATCTGTTTGCCAATTTTTTTCCCCCATTCAAAAGGCAGGGCCTGAGTGAAATTGCATAGAGCTCGGATGAAACCGCGACACCGAAATGAGTGCCATGTCACGACACAGAAATGTGTTGTTTTAGAATTTACAAGTGCAGGTGTTTATAACGAAGTGGAATTCAGTCATACAAAATGGAAGTGGAAAGTCAATGAAACGGCGAAGACTTCCTTTTCAGCCATTTCTGTATATGGAAAAAAAAAAAAAATAAGGATGAGGCAAATTAAGCTATCAGTCTTGACCCTTCCAATATGGTATCAGCGAGTGCAGCAGGACCTGCGGGGCTTCATGTCAGGCCTCTGCTGGCTTTACATTGGAGATCAGCTGAGAAAATTGTATTCAGGACCTGAGGGTGTTCTGCACAGGGAAAGCATTCACGATGATGTTCTCTCAGAAAAAAGCACATCTGCAGCTCCTGCTCCATTGTTTATTCCATCTTTCACAAAAGAATGGCACTTCAGCATGATTAGGTGCGAATTGGAAACTTTACTGAATACAAAATCCAACATTGAGAAGAAATGGAGGAAAACTGCAGAGGACTAAAACTTTTTTTCGTTGCGTGGAGTGTGTATTAATACACAAAAGGAGGGGAAAAAAATCTAATCTAGAACTGAAAGACAATGCTTGTAATATATTTCACGACAAATACTGGTCTAACAAGCTATTATTTTCCTTCACACCTTCTTCGCATGTGCGGACGATGAGCTGGGCTCCCTGTGTAATGCTGGCTGCGGGATTTTGACTGGATGGCAGAGTAAAAGTCCTTGAGCGAGGAGGGTGCTCCTCTGAACGGCGCAGATTTAATGAGAGACCACTCGACCTTTCACTCCGACAAGCCGAGCGAAAGCCCGCGGTTCAGGTGCGGTAAGGCCAATTTTTTCCGGGGTGTAAGTGCGGTGTGCAGAAATGACCCCCGAAGCCCCCCTCATTTGGGAATGACCCTGAACCCGTACCCAGCCTTAGACCCCACAGAGTTACGTTAATGCTAGCAGATGTCCTTTATTCCTGGATTATAAATAACCCCATCCAAGAAGAAAGCGATTTGGCCGGAAAAGTCACTGAATTGGAATGGATTTCTGTCTTTGTTCTGCGGTTAAAACCCTGTGTGTTTCGCAGGACTGGAGTCCCTCCCAATGGTTTCGCAAGCGGTTCAGAACCCAGATAACTGAAGTTCATTTCAGTAAATTGCAGTAAATTCCACTGACAAGCAAGTCTGAAAAGGTTAATTGGACCATTATTGGTCGGTAGTTTTTGAAAGATTTATAGATGTTCCAGGCACATCTTTTCGCCGTCTTCCATTCAAAAAAACATTATCTATCTACAGATTCCCATGACATTTAAGAGCCATGGAGTTGAACTTCATTTCTTTTTGTTTGTATGATTTATTTTGAGGCCAGGTTTGAATTTGCCCACTTTAGGAACTCGATCTTAATTATGATTTTGAAATACTGGGAAACTTTTACAGCTGGACCAGGGCCTGTCAGGTTTGAGACAGCTTTGAAAGTTTTCATTTTACCCTTCTTATGACTGTAAAGTCAGGGATTTATCAGGTGATTTTATCATTTAATGGTTATCTTATCAAAGGTCATGTAATTGAATTCTAATTGTTGAATAATTACTTTCTTAATCAGAGGGTACCTCCACTCCTTAAATGAATGAATAAATTTGCAAGGAAATGAGTACATCAATAAGAGTGCGTATCTTTACATGGCGATAGAGTAAGGCTGATTTGCTCGGTAACATGAGCATGAAAATTCCTGCTTTCAGTACTGAGGTCTGATCACAATGATTCATTGACAGGAACACGCCTAGCAACAGACGTCTGAACCTTTGAACCGCCAGCATAATAGGGTTAGGCCATGCATGCATGCACCCACATACACACACACACACACGCACACGCACACAGACAGGGACACACATACATAGACACACACGCAAGCGCAAACACATGTGCACACATACATGCACAAACACAGAGTACACGCACAGGCACATACAGGTGCACACACCAACTCATCCACACAAACACACACATACACGCATGCACGCACACACACACACACAAAAGGGACAGGAGAGAGAGAGAGAGAGGTGAAATTGGAGTAGGTGTAGTGCCACAGCGGGAGAGGGCAGTGATTACAGACCACTCATTTGCTATGTGCTGTGGCAAATCAGCAACGATTCACTTGACAAATAATAAGGAAAAATTAACAGCTGTCATGGTGTGATGTGTTAATTTTCTGACAGTCTCAGCGCTGAAACCAATTACTGATTTAAGGGCAAGCCGAGAGAGCCCCACTACAGTGACTAATTAGGCTCCTTCAAGACTAAAAGGGATAAAAGCAAAACAAGTAAAAGGAGAGGCAGGCAGGTAGTCAGAGGAGCTTCATAAAACAGACAATCCCCAGACCCCCCCCCCCTCTGCACCCGAGCCGTCTCTCTCTCTCTCTCTCTCTCTCAGACTCTCTCCCTCCGTGTCTGCAGAGGAAGCGTTTTAGCACCAACATTATCTTAAAGCATTTATTCACTTTCATTTCTGACCCACGGGGTGCTGCACAGCTGCGCTGTAATTCAGGGTTTCAGTGTGTCCCATGGTTTATGGAGCAGGCTTTAGGACATGCCCTGGCATGCTGAGGCCGCACTTACTAATAATGCCGTTGTCTAGTAGTGTTGATGCCTGTGTGTTACAAGGGGGAGGCTGTGGTCTGAGGGCTTTACTCCAAAAACCAGGTTCTTCGATAGAACTGTGCAGCGTACACGCTCCTACAACACTGCAGTAGTGTTGAGTTCGTTATTATATCCCCACAGTGCTAATATGTCCCAGTATTGCGGCGTGTGCTCGGGGGGGAAACGAGTCGGGGATGCATTGCATTGGCTGCCATGAGTGGTTTCTGGGATCTCAGTCAAACACAGGAGGGACGCCGATGGCCGTCCTTCAGTAAGAAGTGTTAAAAGTGATAATTAGACAAAGAGCGCTCTCAGCTTAGAGTCACACGCTCTGGTATACACACACACACACTCTCTCTCTCTCTCTCATTCTCTTCTCGCATGCATGGCAGAGTACCATTAAATTTATTGTACACTAAAATAATACAACCACTAGATTTCAAATTAGATTTTTTTCCTCAGCTATTCTACTCTAAGGCTGTGCAGTGGCACAGTGGATAGTGCTGTTTCCTCTCAGCAAGAAGGTTGTGGGTTTGAATCCAGCCTGGAGCCTTTCTGTGTGTAGTTTGCCTGGGTTTCCTCTGCGTACTTTAGTTTCCTGCCACAGTCCAAAGGCTAACTGAAGGGCCTAAATTGCCCATAGTTATGAGTGTGTGAGTGAGTGGTGTGTATTCGCTCCAGTGAATTGGTCAGCTGTCCAGGCCATGTTCTTGGGATAGACACCAGCTTGCTTGAAACCCTGATCTGCATCTGCTGGGTTGCATAATAAACGGATGTTATAAAACTGTTATTTTGGAAAAGGGGATTGCAAGAAATATGATTCCCACTTTATTTGTGCATTCAATCAAAATCTCTTGTGAAGCCAACGAAAATAATGAGAATTTATTAATACGTACATAATTAGTTTTTATTTCTTTAGATCAAATGTTGACTTTGTCTCAGGAGATGTCCTTGGCAAAATGAGCTCACTCTATTACATACTTTACATACCCAGAGAAGTAAACAATGGTTCGTTTGAACACTTTTAAAAGAAATGCAAAATATGGGGTTTGATATGTAAAACTGCTTCTCGCATTTTTATAAATACTTTTATAAGACATTAAAAAAGATCACTTTGTTCGCTACTTCAAAGTTGCTAAATTACACTAATGCTTTTGTTTTCACAACAATGCACGTCCTACCTTAGATCTACAGTATAGTAGTTGCAGTTGATATTCCATCAAGTCATCACATTCATAGATATCCACTTTATTTAAATGCGATCGTTGGAATTGATTGAGCTGAACGGGGTTTTGCTGAGCGGAATAAGTTCTGTAAGAATGACATTACGCCGTGATCTGAGTGACTGTGCTACTTCCCATACTGTTCTAAAGGAGGGACCTCAAGCACTGTGGACTATACGTTTTTAGCTGCCTCTAGTCCTAAATTTGATAATAAGCTGACAGGAAGGGGTGTTTATATACACCGTCTCCCAAAAGTTCATGCACCACAGAAAAAGTCAACTCAGATTGTGAATATTCAACAGAATGCGTTTATTCAAAAGCCAGTGTATCCCCCCTGCATCTTAAGTACTGCCTTCAGCCTGTGGGGCGTAGAATGCACTAAGTTGTTTAGAACAGAAGGCTCAAAGTTGCCCCTCTCCCGCACAGCCCTCGCATTGAGCTGCTTCATGGTGGTAGGGGGTGGGCTCTGGAAGACCTGACTGTTCAGGATACCCCAGGAGTTCTCAATCAGATCGAGGTCCGGGGAGTTTGGTGGCCGTTCCTCTTTGCGCAGAAAGCCAGGAAGCTGCTCAGAACACCACTGCTGAGTTGAACGAGCAGTATGTGCGGGGGCCCCATCTTGCTCGAAGACCATTTCCGCACGCCTGTTGAACATCTTCCTAGCAGTGACGGGGCCTGATTTCTTTTTTCTGGTGAGTATGGGAAGTAGCACTGGCTGGAGAATGTTCTTGACATAATACTCAGCATTGATGGTGGTGCCCTGGGGTACAACATGCAACTCCAACAGCCCTGAAGATGACGTTGCCCCCCAGACCATGCAATGGGTGCTGCTGAACTTGACTTGTTCAGAAGGTGGCACTTTCTTTCGATTGTCGGTGTAGATGCGGTCGTTTTGGATCTTGGGAGTTGGAAATAAGTAGAGTGGGCGCTCATCAAAGAAAACCCAGTTTTCCTAGTGTCTTGGGTCATTGTGGCATACTTCTTTGTAAAAGCCAGCCGCTTCTCCGTTTGCAGTTTGGTAAGGCGAGGAATCCACTGTCTTCTGTATGCTCTCAGACCCAGTTTCTCAGTCAGAAAACGATGGATGGTACTTTTAGAGACTGCTTCCTCAAGATTCTTCAGTCTTTGACTGAGTCTGCGGCAGGATTGGTGTCTCTTTCCCTTGGCCTTTCAGATGAGGTCCTTAGCCCTGGAACTCAGGACTGAGGGACGACCTGCACGGGGCTCGTCTTCAAGGGAGTCACAACTCTGGAGTCTCTGCCACCACTTCTTCACCCATCGTATGCTTCTGCCAAGGTCCTGAGCTCCTCCCTGCAAGCTTTCCCTGCCCTGCGCAAGGCAATGGCTTGAGCACAGACCTGAGACTCTGAAAGAGCAGCCTTTCCAGATTTTTGTTTGGCCATCATGGCAGCACTACCAAAAAAGTTCTCTCAGTGACAGTTCTCCTTTGGTTCCTTGGTCAACCAAAAGATATATAGGCCTCTCGCAAACAGATGAATTAATTAAACAACCTCACAAAACCTGGCTGACCAGGTGCAACCCATTTTGGAGACAGACATGTTGCCCATTGGGGTGCATGAACTTTTGGGACATGGTAGTTGAAAATAGTTTTGTTGTGTTGAAAAAGTTGTTAATATTATTTTAAGTTTTTTCCATGAGGTCTGAGAATATGTAAACCCCATGAAAATAGTTTCGGCATGCTTACCATGTCCTCGAGGACAACTACCTCAGGGCAAGATACATATAAGAGTGCAAAGAATAGAAAGGTCCTCCATCAGATTTATTCGTTGGTATCATAACACGTTTCATATCAGGATTGCTCCATTTGTGTGGCATTACATTTTTTTGGCTACTGAATGGTGACTTGGCAAAGAACGAGAAATGGTAAGTTTCTTGACTTAACATGTATTATTAAGTTTAATGCAAGGCCATTAGAAATACTAAAGGAATTCACATTCCATAATTTCATACTGAAGGCAGCACTGCACAGAATACATCTTCACAATAGGCAACAAAAAATGATCTACAGAAAGGACCGTTACACCTATAATTCAGTCTGACCAGATAAGAGGCATCAGAGATGATGAATATTGACTGTTTCGCTGCCTCTTAATTTTACTTTTGCACGCCAGCAATACACTCTGTGTCACATGACCCAGCCATCTGCAAATAGTGTAATTTCCCCAACAGCACCATAAATGGTGGGAGGAAAAATCAGGGCCTCGGTCAAATCAACCACCGTAACCATGGGTCTCAAGTCTGCCAAAGGTCTCTCGTTGCTGTTATCGGAGCCGAAGTTCTAGGCCGGTTAAAAAATCCAGCCTCGGGAGTTCGCTGGGAATGGCCCATCTTGTTCGGGAGGAGACTTCCGGCTCTTTCCGTAGCCAGTGGGCGACTACTGAAACACGGGAGAAACACGCAGATTAATTTCATTTTTTTTAGCCCTCCCTAATGCGTCTGCTCTCCGCGGTTCGCAGACAGCCGATCATCACATGATTTATAGTACTGACCGGTGCCGGCATCTCTCAGGCTAATGACACATACACTAAAGTCATTGATTTGTATGAATGGCCTCCGCTCCTCATCTATCACCATTTAATGTAAGAGTTTGCTATGCAGAGCTGCAAACTCACCAGGGAGGCCACCGGTGGCATCCAGTCATGAGTCATTTGCTGCTTTTTAATATATAGACTCCTCTATTTATGTAAATGGGGCGCACAACTGAACGCCAGAGTTCAACAAAGCAGATAATACCACAAAAGACAGAACATATATGAGAGGCATTGATGGTCTTTTCACTTATTTTTTTAGGAAATTTAAGCCTTGAATTTCGAGCTGGTAGATTTATTTATTTATTTATTTTTAACTAGGATATTTATTTTGAGATTAAAGATAAACTCCTGGTCACAGATATCTTGTAAGAATGCTGGCGCTTGAGGCTGGATGTGGTTTTAATTTTTTGAGAGACGCGGCGGAAGCTAACTTCAGTCCTCGATCGTGGGGCATTCACAAGCTCAGGGGGTAAAACTCTCCCTGCGTGAAAGTGCTAAACTCATCTGAAGGTGCTCTATATGATATGTACAAATTAGAGTAACTCAGTGTAACTGCAGGTGCTTAATCCTTTCAGCGCCGAATGATGTAAGATATCAAAATCAGACGCTGTTGAAAACCAATCATGTGGCAACTTGTTTAAAAGAGCTCCCTGAGCTCTTTTAAACAAGTTGCCACATGATAGGTTTTCAACAGCTCAGGGTAACTACATTTTTAATTCCTAGAAAATGTATTCAGTGCTCAAAGGGTTAAGTGCAGGGCAGATGGTTCTTTTTCTAATTCAGATACTTCTTAAGGACATTTTATTGTCAGACCTTATGTCACATTACAGAGCGCTCACTGTGTATTTATGTTGAACACTGAAGGAAAAAACAAATTGCATTTCGTGATGGATGAAGCTAACGCTGTTAGCCAACTTTCATGTAAACCATCAATAGTAGCAGTAAAAAATTGATACAAAGATACGTTGTAGTTTGGCATCTAGGATTTGACCCTGACACACCCTGCGACCTACTTAAATTGAGAAGAGGAAAGCAAGAAGTGCCAGAACATACAGTCGAAAAGTAATAAGCAATCACCAGGCTGCCTTGCTTTTTAAGCCTTGATTTTTTTTTTTGCTTTGGGAACCAGGTGGATCATGGGACGTGTAGTTTTCAGACTAATAAGGGTGTTACCATGCCAGTGAAAAAGTAAAACTGCATAAATTATCATTGACTATGGTCTAGAAAAACAGCGTGTTTACCTACTTGGTAATATGACACAAAATTTTAAAATTGATGGAGACTTAAAAATAATGGTAAGTACTTCAAATGTGAATTTTTAAAGAAGTTTATGGGTAAAATGAACAACCATTTTTACTTCTGACTCCAGCGTGACGTAGTCACCCCAACACTCTTTGCTCCACCTACTAGAGGGGCGGAGCAGTGTGTGATATACATGGGAGTGTATAACTCCACAAGCTGCATCCCACGTCTGTCAGCTAACTCACCTGTAAACCTTCAATACCAGCCGTAACAAATTGACACAATGATTGCTTGACGTCTAGGCTCTGACCCTAACGTACCCTGCAGCCTATTGAGCTTGAGGGAAAGAGAGCAGGGAGTGTCAGGATATCCCCCAAAACAGCATGACTACACTCCCCCACACAGGACAGCCTGACAACAGGGCCAGATTCTGAATGCTAATCTTAGTTAACCTATTAATGTAAGGCCAAGGCACCAGCCCCCGTGAGGCCATTCAGTGCAGCAAGATGCGACCTAGTGAAGCTATCAATGTGTGG